GTCTGCCGCAGGTCAGCACCACGCACACAGCTTTGCCGCTGCCCCGCAGCGCTCCCCGTCCTCCGGCACAGCGCAGACCGCTCTCTCGTGCCCACCAGCACCTCTCCCGTGAGACATCTCCTCAGGGCTTGTGCTGTTTTGGCCTGGGCAGGGAATGCCACTGAAGCAAACACCCTGCTTCCCAAGTTTGACCGGTGCTCTCCGTGGGGCTAGGAGACCACTGCCAGACGTGCGGCACGTCCCCCCCAAAGACAAGTGGAGATCCTGTGCAAGGAGAGGTCGGAGCAAGGTAGGCTCAGGGACCCTGACCTCCAGCTCAGGAATCTCTGCCCCGGCTTTTCTCGAGTGACCCCTGCTCAGCATCTCGCTGCTGGGTGGACTGGAGGAGGGAGAGGAGAGGCCCTGCAGCGCCCGAAAGGGTCAAGTGCGTCCCACATGCTGTTCTCCCCACGGCACGGGTACCTGAGCGAGGGGTTCTTCTCCTTGGCCTTGGGCTGCATGGCTTGCTTGGGCGACTGGCCCACAGTGAAGGCGAAGGTGCCACGGACATGCTGGGGGTAGCGCAGCTTATGCAGGTGCTTCCTGAAGATCTCGGCGCTGTCTGAAGCCACCTCCTCATCAAAGGCAATCTTCAGCAACTGCAAGGACAGCAGAGAGCAGGCTGCAGGGTCGGTCACGGTGCGCTCAGCACGGCTGGGCCAGGGGACTGGGAAGGGCTCGTCCCAATGGCTCTTCCCACGGCACAGGGCAGAGCGCAGACCCCGGTCGGGAACAGGGACCGCAACGGGCACAGCCCAGGTGGGGAGGCTGCCCTGTCTGTCTGTCCCTCCATGCCAGTTACTCTGTCCCACACCCCTTCCTCCTGGAGACCGCTCCGTACCCGGCACTGCCGCTCCTGCGACGTCCCCAGTGCCTGGTCACTGCGGCCCCGAGCACGCAAGATAGGCAGGGAAGAGCAGACAGCGTGTTTTAGGTGCTCTCCTCCCAGCATTGCTCTACCTCCACAAGCCTCACAAAGATGTAAAATGCTGAGTAACTAGTCACGTTGTGACATCTCTCTTTGCTGTATTTCTCTCCCCCAAGATCTGCTACAAGGTTTTGCAGAACCACCTCCCAGGGTGCCGCGTGGGGACGTCTCACGCCCTCTCAGGGCTCCAGCAGCCACTGGAGCAGCTGGAAAGGAGCCCTGAGCTAACGGGCAAGAAGTTGCTTCTGTGTACAACAGGACTGTGACTGGTGCACTCCCACTGAGGCCAGGCTGGGAGAGCTGGGGGGGCTCAGCCTGGAGCAGAGAAGGCTCCGGGGAGACCTTCCTGCAGCTGCCAGGGCTGAGAGGGGCTTAGAAGAAAGATGGGGACAGACTTTTTAGCAGGGTCTGTAGTGACAGGACAAGGGATAACGGTTTTAAACTAAAAGAGGGCAGATTTAGATTAGATATTAGAAAGAAATTCTTCACTGTGAGGGTGGTGAGGCATTGGAACAGGCTGCCCAGAGAACTGTGGATGTCCCATCCCTGGAAGTGTTCCAGGCCAGGTTGGACGGGGCTCTGAGCAACCTGGTCTAGCGGAAGGTGCCCCTGCCCATGGCAGGGCGTTGGACTAGATAATCTTTAAGGTACCTTCCAACCCAAACCATTCTATGATTCTACAGACCACAGTCTACTCCTTCCTCTGCAAGAGGCCTGCGGCTCCATCCCCTCAGGTGCAGTCACCTGCGGCAGGTTGTCTTTGGTCCCTCAGGAACACTACCCCCAGACCACGTCAGCCCAGGCAGCGAGTGCCTTGTCCCAAGGGATGGTGCCAGCCATGGCCACGTACCTGCTGGGTCCCACCAGCAACGTGCTCCTCAGCTGAGACACTGCAATGCGAAGGAGCAGCCCACAGCCCCGCGCAGTCTCACCTGGAATGTGCACGAGCGCAGCTGCAAGCCCTCCTGGATGAACTGATCCACCGGGGCCTGGATATTGATCTTCTTCTCTTTGGTCAGCGAGGCGATGGGGAAGGACCGGATCACCACCTGCTCCCCCACTGGGCACAAGCATGGGAACAGGTTAGCCACATCCTGCCGCCTCAGCCCGGCACAAGGCCAGGCCACCCTCGGTGGCCACCACCACGGAGAGCCCCGCAGGGTAAAGCTGCCAGAAACAGGCTGAGTTATTAAACAGAGTCATTTATCTTCTACCAAAGGTGGACAGCAAGAGCAACCACCTCCTCTGTAATACTGGCAGCAACCATCAGGCTTGTGGTGGTTGCAGCAGCCCCCAGCAAGGCCCAGTGCTGGCTGGTGGCTCACCCAAGGCAGCCACCCGAAGCCTTGTCAGCAACTCCCGCAGCACGGTGAGCTGCAGCCGC